GCGGGGGGGGGGGAAGCTGCCGCAGGGCTGGGGGGAGGGCGCAAGATGGAAGTTTCGCCTAGGGCATGAAACTTCCTTTCACTGGCCCTGCACGGCCCTCCAGCGTTTGTTTGGCTAGATCACGGCAGGGCTCTCTGTGCCCGGGCAGGGCGGGGCCCGTCTGTCAGATCAGACTCTCCACAGCGGTGAAAGGCCCCAGGAGGCAGCGAGGGCAGTGAAGTCCCCTCCGTTTGGGGCAGGATTGGTGACCCGCTGGGTGGCGACTCCGGCTGGGGCTATGCTGGGGGTCAGGCTGGGCGGGTCCCTTCCGGTTTCGGCTTCCACAGGCCGGATCGGCAGCGAGTGTCGAGCTGGTGTCATCCGTTCGAGGGCTCGGTGGATTCGCCCCGTGGGGCCCTGGGCCTGGGGGTCACAGCAGGGTCCAGGAATGGACGTTGTCGGGCCGCTGCTCACTGCGCAGTGTTAGGAGTAGGGGGATCCCCTGGATCCAGCTGGATTCCAAACAACCCGTTTACCAGCCGTGCAGGGCCTGGCCGCATGTGGGGGTCTGCGGGCTTCTGCCATCGACCCCCATGAGCCACCAGAGAGCAAAGAAACTAGTTTAAAGGGACAGCATCCAATTCCCCTGCACTCTCCTGGGCACAGCCCACCCACCCTTCTCCTAGTGCTCCATGGGAGGGGCGGGGCTGGGTGTATCCCAACGGGGAGGGGACCCATCAGGCTGGGGTCTGTAACGCTGAGTGTGGCGCCCCCTTCTGGTGACTCGCTCCAGTTCAGTGCCCCCTTTCTTCTCTTCCACCATTGCAGCTCCCGGAGTCACAGCTGCCCCGTGTCTCGGCCGTCCGGCCAGGTCACGCTGTAATCCCTATTCTGGGGGAGCCTTTCAAAGTCAGACCCCTCTCTCCTATGCCTGCTAGTGAAACCCTTCCTCCGGAGCTCCTACCCCCCTCGGGGCTTCCTAGCCCCCCTCGCCTCAGGCCCCCACCACTGGGCCCAGCCCTCGGGCTGTATAGAAGCCCCAACTGTCCCCTCCCAGGCGAGCTTCCTTCTAGCTAGCACCCTGCACGCAGCCTAAGTCACTTCCCCTTTGCAGCTTAACTGGCTGATCGGGCCCCCCCTTAACCCTGCTCTCCTAGGGCTGGTGCAGGGAGCGGATCGCAGGGTCCTGGTCTGGAAAAGGTTGGGCCCCCGATCTGTGGGGTGGGGGAGGGGTTGTTCCGCAGGGATTGGGGCCCTGCCAATAGCAGCAAAGAAAGGAGAATAGAATGGGGAGGGGGGTTGGATGGAGCAGACAGACTGACCAACAGACCACACGCCCTGCTATGGGTGGAAGTTGCCTCCATGGTCATTCGCCCCCCGTGCACCCCCAGCCGTGCTGTGTGTGACACCCCCCGCCTCCGCTTTCCCCTCTCAGACATCAACGAGTGCAACAAGACCCCAGATATCTGTGGCCCCAACGCCATGTGTATCAACACCAATGGGAGCTACTGGTGTGAGTGCCGGGCCGGCTACGTCCCCTCCAACAGGAACACGACCCTGTGCGAAGGTGGGTCCTGCCGTGGGGAGCACGGAGGGGAAACCTTGCGGGGGCTGGGCAGGGGCTGGGGCTACACAGGCAGAGGTCTTGCCCGAGGGTGCAGCGAGCTGGGAACTGGTCTGGGACGGTGCCCCAGCCCCCCTGCCCCCCATGGACGGGGTCCCTCTGGGTCTCAGCCCTGACTGGGGAGGGCTCTGCCTCCAGGCCCTCACCTCCCGCGGGGGGGGGGAGCAGGGCTACCAGGGCCCGGGCGTCTCTCCCCCTCCCCCAGCAGTGCCTGCGTTCCTGCTGCACGGCTGGAGTCTCTGCCCTGGGAAGATGGCAGCAGGGGGCGTAGTCTGTGCCTAGAGGCCACTGTGGGGCCAGCCCGGGGCTCCCTGCTGGATTCTTCCTCCCCACCAGCCCCCAAAACACATCAGAACCACCCACAGCTGGGGGAGAGGGTTGAGGGGAGATACGGCTGGGATGATTCCACAGCCCCCGCAGCACCCCACTGCTGCTCAGTCCCCTAGGACGGGGAGGGGGGACGGTTCCTTTCACAGAGACCAGCTTGTGAGCAGAGGATGGGGAGAAGGGGCTGGGCACATGTGTGGGGCTGGGGAGGTCACTGCTCCCCCTGCTGGGAGAGGATCAATTACACCCATATCACTGACATGGGCTGGGTGTGTCCCTGCTGGGGGGAGTGAGGGAAGGCTGCTGCCGCCCCGTCCTGGAGGGAATGAGTTCTGTTCTGTGTGCCTGTCTCTGGTGCATGCACCTACACAGCCAGACCCCGCTTCCACTGGGGGCGGGCAGCCATGCTCTCATCTGGCCTCTAGGGGGTGCAGCTGCTAGTTCGAGGGACCCTCCCACTGCCCCAAGCTCCCTGCGTGGGCAGCGCTGTGAGGGGCCATGTGCTGTGACTGGCATTGCCAGCCCAGTTCCATGCTTCCCTGAGGCACCCCGAGTTCCAGCGGCATGGCGCGGGGACACACGGGCTGGCCAGCTCCGCGTTGCTCCTCAGGGCAGGGAGTTTGTCCAGGGCACAGGCCGAGAGGTCTCTCTGGGCTCCCAGTGCAGTGGATTTGGAGACCCCTTTGCGCTGGTGAAGCTGGCGCATGCACCAATGCCAGTCCCCTGGCAGGGGAGACCCACATGCGGGTGTCTCCACCGGGGGCCGCTGGAAGCTGCCAGCTGCTAAATCGCTTTGTGCTGGTCCCTGTCTGTGCTCCCTGACCCCCCGAGTCAGCAAAGCACATGCTTGGCTCCAGCCCTGCCGAGCTACGCACTTAACTCGGCTCCAGTGGGTCTCAAGTGCATGGCTGAGCTCGTGATGACAATCCCAGGCACTAAAAAATATCAGATTCGCTTAGAAAATCACAAGCTTTAGAAATTCCAATGAGCAAGAGGCAGTGTGTGGATTGAATGGAATTGAAAAGGGGCAAATTCAAACTCAATACAAGGAAATACTCCTCCACCCTGGTCAGCAGTAGCCTCTGGAACTCACTGCTACCGCGGCCTGGAGGCTGTGAACGTGTCAAG